TCTTCTCTCTGCGGTGAGCACCAGGGAGGGACCGACAGGAGGGATGGAGGGAACGCAGTGGTTAGTTGCAGAACACAGGGAAGCCAAGTTTTAATGATACAGACACAAGTAGGTGAAAGGCAGAGACAGAGCCCGCAGGAGGTCAGATTCCACATGGGCGCCCGTGGGATGTGTCTGGACGCAGCCCGCCCCTGCCCCAGCCTCTGTCGCTACCGGATGCCGAGTCCGCCGCAGGTGCAGGTAGACTCTCTGGCCTGTCTTGTTGAAGTGTCTTTCCACATACTGCTTCCCGAAGCCCAGGAAAGTGTTCATGCAGATGTAGAGGCCGCCCTCAGACTCCTGCAGGGCAAGAAGCAAGGGAGGAAACACAAGGAGGATACAGGCTGGCCTGGGCACGGGGTGGGGGTGGGGATGGGGGATGGAGCCAGAGATTCAGTCCGAACCCACCGAGTCTCTAGAACAAAGGTTCTGTTCTATGTCACTGGGTGGCTCTTGGTGACTTATTTAGACCTTTCCATGAACTATGTTTTAAATTGGAAATGCAGAGACGAACAGACACACTGATTAATAGACAAAGATTTTCCTTCTGCTGGTTCACTTCCCAAATGTCCATCAACAGCTGGGACTGGGCCGGGTCAAAGCCAGGAGCCTGGAACTCAATCCAGGTTTCTCCACATAGGTAACTGGGACCCTTTTTTTTTTTTTGACAGGCAGAGTGGACAGTGAGAGAGAGGTCTTCCTTTTCCATTGGTTCACCCCACAATGGCCACTGCGGCTGGCGCACCGCGCTGATCCGAAGCCAGGAGCCAGGTGCTTCTCCTGGTCTCCCATGCGGGTGCAGGGCCCAAGCACTTGGGCCATCCTCCACTGCTCTCCCAGGCCACAGCAGAGAGCTGGACTGGAAGAGGAGCAACCGGGACAGAATCCGGCACCCCGACTGGGACCAGAACCCAGAGTGCCAGCGCCACATGCAGAGGATTAGCCTAGTGAGCTGCCGCGCTGGCCAGGACCCAATTCTTGAGCCACCATTTGCTGCTTCTCACAGTACACATGGGCATGAAGCTGAATGGGAAGTGGCGCTCAGGTTGAACCCAGCGTTCTGCTGGCATCCTGGCCACTATACCCAATGCCTGCCCCTTGTCTTTCAGGACATGGGACACAGCGAAGATTCTCCCCATGTCCTCCTGTGACTCTGACAACAAACAACAAGGACACTGGCGTTGAGCAACTCCTATCAGTGACCATCCATCTTCACTCTCGCTCCTTCTTCAAGCTTTGCAGTCTTCTAAACAATCACAGAGGGCCGGTGCTGTGGCTCAGCGGGTTAACCCCCTGGCCTGAAGTGTCGGCATCCCATATGGGCACTGGTTCAAGACCCGGCTACTCCACTTCCAATCCAGCTCTCTGCTATGGCCTGGGAAAGCAGTAAGAAGATGGCCCAAGTCCTTGGGCCCCTGTACCCATGTGGGAGACCTGAAGAAGTTCCTGGCTCCTGGCTTCGGATCGCCGCAGCTCCGGCCATTGCAGCCAATTGGGGAGTGAACCAGCGGGTGGAAGACCTCTCTCTCTCTCTCTCTCTCTCTCTCTCTCTGCTTCTCCTCTCTCTGTGTAACTCTGACTTTCAAATAAAATAAAATAAATCTTAAAAAAAAAAATCACAGAAAACTCCTCTCACCTCTTCCCTGGGTCAAGGGATCCACAAAGTAAATGGATCAAACTAGACTTCCAGTGCCAGCGATTACATTTCTGGGAGAGGAAAGACCTTCATATCAGACACTGAACCCAAACCCAGGACTTCCAAGACAAACCCTGCGGCTCACTAGGCTAATCCTCCGCCTTGCGGCGCCGGCACACCGGGTTCTAGTCCCAGTAGGGGTGCCGGATTCTGTCCCGGCTGCCCCTCTTCCAGGCCAGCTCTCTGCTGTGGCCAGGGAGTGCAGTGGAGAATGGCCCAAGTACTTGGGCCCTGCACCCCATGGGAGACCAGGATAAGTACCTGGCTCCTGCCATCGGATCAGCACGGTGCACCGGCCGCGGCAGCCATTGGAGGGTGAACCAACGGCAAAAAGGAAGACCTTTCTCTCTGTCTCTCTCTCACTGTCCAACTGTTCTTGTCAAACAGAAATAGAACACAAAGAAAGAAAGAAAGAAAACTTTCCACACTGAAAGGGCAGATTCCAGCCCTGCACAGTACACTTGACTCCTGAGCTGGCCAACAAGGCCAGGCCTTTCCTTTCCCACACTCTCCCAGGGTCCACACTAGGAGTCTTCTCCCTTCTCTGCTCCAGGAGAACAATGTCCTGTTTGGGACTCACAGCTAATCCTGGACCTGGTCTGGCCAGGATACAAAGACTAGCAATCTCCAGCCACCAGCCATCACTCTCTTCACTCCCTTCCCCTCTGACTAGTAAGGCCCCTAGTGAAGTCTCATCAGCCTCCAACCTTCCCTTCCCAGAACAGCCTAACAACACTGCTGAGACAGCTAAGACACATACAGTTCAAGAATCAGGAGACACTGTCCACCCTGAATCACAGCTGAAGGGGGTGGGGGAGAGGGACGGGCCTCCTCCAAAGCCGCACAGGTTTTTTTTTTTTTTTAGATTTATTTATTTGAAAGTCAGAGAGAGGAGAGGCAGAGAGAGAGAGAGAGAGGGCAAATCTTCCATCCACTAGTTCACTCCCCAGATGGCTACAATGGCTAGAGCTGTGCCAACCTGAAGCCAGGAGCTTCTTCCAGGTCTCCCACATGGGTGCAGGGGCTCCAGGACTTGGGCCATCTTCTACTGCTTTCCCAGGCCACAGCAGATAGCTGGATTGGAAGTGGAGCAGCCGGGACTCGAACCAGCACCCATATGAGATGCCGGCACTACAGGCAGTGGCTTTATCCACCATGCCATAGTGCCAGCCCCAACTGCATAGGTCTAACAGTGCCTTTGAAACAAAGTGGTGGAGAAGGTAGAGGAGGGAAATGGAGACAGTGAGAGTGTTCCCTCAGCTCCAAGGCTTTGAACAACAGGCATCCTCTTCCTGGAATAAAAAGCTCAGTGGCCTTGAAAATTTCTCTGCTGCAGTGTTAAAAATAGGGCACTATCTAAGGCCCTGTCTTGGTCCCATAGACTTCTCTGTGCCACTCCCTAGGACAGCCTGGACTGCAATGCTCATGAACAAATAGCGCATTTCACATCAGGGCGGGCGACTAAGCTCGCTCTCTCCCATGATAATCAAACACACCAGAAGTTGTTAGCAAAGCCAGAAGGCCACACTGGAGATCTCCTGACGTGGAATGAGAGGGAAGCGGTCAGGAAATTCTAAAAGCCCTTTTGGGTTATTCAAAATAGTTCCTCAGGAGAGGGAAAGGAGTGAACAGAATTGTAAACAGGGACCCTCTGATTTGTACCTTCTGCCTAATTAAGAAAAGCCTTGTCCCCCTGGAGGACCGTGAGCCCCCTAGAGCAATTATCCTTCTGTTGGAAATAGAAGATGCTGCTTTCACCAAAGGTGGGGAACCTGGAGCCCCGCTCTGGGCAGTCTGCTTTTCCCTCTGCCACAGCCAGACTTCCGAGAGACAGCGCATTGTCTGAAGCTCAGATCAAAGCCCAGCAAGTCCAGCAAACCACAAATCACAGCGATGATCCTGAACTGGGCCTGCCAGGATGCTCAGCACCGGCGATGCACACGTGAAGCCTTTCCACTCTGACTTGCAGTTTTCAAGCCATGGGCTGGTCTGGCTGAACACCCTGGGCAGGGCTCACTAGGACTTGAGGGGAGGGATGGTGAGGGGGGCGGATCCCAGCCAGGCGGCTGCCCACTCCGTTCAGGCCCTGGAGCCTGGTCTCCCTGCCAGGGTGACACAGGAAAGGCAAAACTGCAGGAAGGGGAGGTACCGGGTGGAGCCCACAAAAAGGCGAAGCCCGGTGTGGGTGGTGGCAGCTTTGTCTAACAAGTCCAGTGGGAGTGGGATGGCGAAGGGGCCTTAACATCCTCTAAGAAGCCATCGCTCCAGAAATACTTTAAAGGAGTTCTCTCTGCGAGGAAAGAGCGAGGGGGCTGCGGCCATGGTTCACGTCCAGAGAAACGACTAGAGCTATCCTCTACTCATTCCTCCCCTCCCTACCACCAACGACCCACCTCCCGGCCCCTTGTCCACATTAACCATGGGTGGAGCTCCCTAACTCGGCCCTTCGCAGAACCGGCCTCCTTCACAAATCATGTCCCGACCATGAGCCGCCAGAGAACGCCAGTCTACCAAACCTCAACCCCGGCCCAGAACAGCGGGGAGTCGCCCCCATTCCTCCCACACGAGACTACAAAACCCGGAGCGCCGTGCGCGACGGGCGAGGCCGACTCCAGCTTTCGCAGGGGGGCACTTGGGGGATGTAGTCCGACTGTTGGGTGGAGCCCCTAACTTAGAACGAGAACCAAAGCAGTGAGAGACTACAATGCCCACAGTGCTCTGCGAGCCAGACAGCGTAAAGGGGGAGCGCGGCGGATTCCGGGGACGGTAGTCGCACTACAGCCTCGGCTGATGGAAGGCAACGGCACAGAGGAGCGTGGGAAACTACAAATCCCATGGTGCATCGCATGGAGGCGGTAGCCCAAGCGTTGCAGGCCCCGGCAGAATGACCAGGGCGATGGAAGGAAGTCGTGCTCGCTGTGGGCGTGGGGAATTGGCTTACCGGCGTGTCGAAGGAGAAGGCGCATTCGTCTTTGTGGACCCGGTCTCCCGCCTTAGGGACCCGGATCGTCGGTAATACTGACAGCAGCGCCTCCTCACTCAGCTCCGCCATGACACCGGCAGCAGCTCCTCCACACACAGCGGCTCCCACCGCTCCCTGTACCCCACCCCCTACTCTCCCCGTCCAATGAACGCTGCTCGTTAGGCGCATGCGTTGCAGAGAGGACGCGCGAGAACGGCAGTTGGATGGAGCCTACTAGCGCTCCGCCCCCAGCCTGCTCTTAACTCACGCCAATGAAAAGCGCTCCTAACGCAATTGATGGCCGGGAGAGCCAATCCTACCCTCCCAGGGCTGGAGCGCATGTGGAGCCCTGGGCCTCGTAGCCCACACACGACTCTGTGGTCCCTGTCTCTTCGCGTGCCTTTTACTCAACACCAGAAACTAACGGTTGTTTAAACCTCGCAATTCCAGAAACTTCCCTAGGTCTTGTCCAGTTTTTTAAAAAGGGGCTGCCCAGTGAGGCGGAGAAAGTGGACTGGTGTCGAGTGATTGATAACTCCGTCAACCAATAAGGATTCCTATCTCGCTCGCCTCAGGAAAACCATCGTAACTCCGTCTCCAGCTGGATTTGTGCGTGACAGCGTATAATTCACGATTTCGTTTTCAATAAAAAAAAGCATTCGTTTTTGAAACTGAAGGCCTTCAAGGCGAAGAGCGGCATGTCCTCGCGACGGGCGGCCCGTAGGCGGATCCTGAACAAAAGTCTCCTTATCAAAGAGGCGTCACCCAGAGGCAAGCCAAAAGCCTCAGGCTATTGGCTCCTTGCTTTCCGTGATGGGCAACCTCCCCGGCCAGTGGCTTCTTCGTCTAGAGGCGGGTGTCACACAGTGGGCCAATGGGAGCCTCCATAGGCTGAGCCAATAGGGTCAGAGCAGGGGGCGTGGCGGGAGGTTTGAAACTCGTATCTTTGGGAGTTGAGCTTCGAGCTGGTACGCACAACTGGAGTTGGGGCCCGGTAAGTGATTTGAATAAATTGATGAATAAACTACAGCGCCCCGCAGGCGCGAAATGAGCCGCTTGGTCAGCTGCTAGCCAGCGGCCGGGAGGTTCCTCAGCGGGAAGCTCGCAGGTCGGGGGTGTGGGCTCAGAGGTCAGCCGGGGTCGCGCCGAGGGCTGAGACCTGCGTCGCTTCTCGCAGGCGTCTCCTCCTCGCCCCGGGCCGGGCCCTGCCCCAAGCCGCTCTTGCTGGTGGAGATGGGCTCAGCCAAGAGCGTCCCCGTCACCCCAGCGCGGCCGCCGCCGCACAACAAGCTCCTGGCCCGAGTGGCGGACCCGCGTTCCCCCAGCGCCGGCATCCAGCGCACTCCCATCCAGGTACTCTGGGGTTCCTGGGCCTCTGCCCGCTCCGGTTCTGAGAGGTCCTCACACCCCCACGCCGCCCTGGGCCTCGTTTTCCGCATTCTCAGCCTGCATGGGGTGGACAGTGTTCCAAGGCTTTGGCAATTCCTGCTTGAAACTTGGGAAGGAGAGAAGAGTGGGGCCGGGACTTGTTCTAACCTGTGGTCCTGACAGGTGGAGAGTTCCCCACAGCCAAGCCTGCCCTCGGGAGAACAGCTGGAGGGGTCCAAACAGGCCCAGGATTCGGATCCCCGCTCTCCAACCCTTGGCATCGCGCGGACACCCATGAAGACCAGCAGTGGAGGTGAGTGTTGGGCCCAGAGGCCGTCACCTATTCTTGGGCCCCTTTTTTTACATTTATTTATTTGAAAGCCAGGGTTATGGGGAGGGGCGGGGTGTGGGGGGAGATCTTTCATCCACTGGTTCACTCCCCAAATGGCCGCAACGGCCAGAGCTGGGCCAGTCCAAAGCCAGGGGCCAGGGGCTTCTTACAGGTCTCCCAAATGGGTGCATGGGCCCAAGGACTTGGGCCATCTTCCACTGCTTTCCCAGGTGCATCAGCAGGGAGCTAGATCGCAAGTGGAGTAGCCGGGATTTGAACCAGTGCCATATGGGGTGCTGGCATCATAGGTGGTGGCTTTACCCATTATGCTACAGTGCTGCCCCCATAGGGCTCCTTTTTCTTTTTCTTTTTTTTTTTTTTTTTTTTAAGATTTATTTACTTATTTGAAAAGCAGGGTTACAGAGAGGCAAAGGGGGAAGAAAGAGAGGGGTCTTCCATCTGCTGGTTCACTCCCAATTGGCCTCAACAGCTGGAACTGGGCTGATCCGAAGCCAGGAGCTTCTTCCAGGTCTCCCATGTGGGTGAAGGAGCCCAAGGACTTGGGCCATCCTCTGCTGCTTTCCCAGGTCACAGCAGAGAGCTGGATCAGAAGTGGAGCAGCTGGGACTCAAACTGGCGCCCATATGGGATGCCAGCACTGCAGGCCACGGCTTCACCCACTATGCCACAGCACCGGCCCTGATAGGGCTCCTTCTTAAAGGGGCCTCCACTTGGAGCCTTGTCACCTGCATTTCTCTCCTCCCACTCCCTCACCTCACCTAAAGCTCCTGTGTCTCCCTGCTGAATGACTGGCGTCAGATGTCACTGTCCGCTTCTTTCTCTCCTATAGACCCCCCAGGCCTCCTGGTGAAGCAGCTGAGTGAAGTGTTTGAGACTGAAGCCTCCAAATCCAGTCTTCCCCCCGAGCCAGCTCTGCCCCCAGAGCTACCTTCCTCCTCTGACTCGGACTTGCCGCTGGGTCCTCAGTTAGCCCTTGAGGGCCACATGCCAGCCTGGAAGCCGACTGAGCTCCCCTCCAGACAGGGGCTTTCCACGGAGGAAGCAAGACAGCCCACGGAGACCCCTGTGGGCAGCCAGAGCTCAGACAAGGCCCTGAGAGAGCCTGAGACGCCCCGATCTTCAGGTACAGAACCTGAGGGCAAGGTGTGGGGAGGAGAAAGCAGCATGACGTTCTGGGGTCATTCCCTGGGTGAGGAGGAATAAGCTATAGGCCCCTAATGTTACCTGTTTCGCCACCTTACCTGTCCTAGGTTCTAAGCACAATAGGCGGAAACCGAGTGGCAAAGTGTTAGGGAGACCCCCACTCACCATCCTGCAAGACGACAACTCCCCCGGCACCCTGGCGCCACGGCAGGTAAAAGGAGAGCAGGCGGAAGCCCTTACTAGAGTGGTAGTAGCATTGCAGGTGGAGGCTCCCCTCCCAGGTCTTTCCTCCTGCACAGCACCCCCCACGCCCCCACGCCCACCCACCCTCCCTCCCTCCGGCCTGCTCACGCACCGCCTTTTGCAGGGAAAGCGGCCTTCTCCCCTAAGTGCCAATGCTCGGGAGCTGAAGGAAGGGTCCGTGCTCGGGACCGGGCGGCTTCTGAAAGCTGGAGGGCGAGCCTGGGAACAAGGCCAGGACCACGACAAGGAAAACCAGCACTTTCCTTTGGTAGAGAGCTAGGCCCTGTGGGGCCAGCGACGGGCTCTCCGGGACCCAGTGACTTCCGCATCCTTCCCCCCTGTGCCTGGGAGCCCAAGGAAAGGCTTGTCTTCGACTCCTCCTAAACCAGCCACTCTGGACTGAGAACGTTACTGGGCTTTCTTAGTATCTCGTGTGTCTCTTGTATATTAAAGGAAGTGATTTTATTTTATTTTATTTTAAAGTTTATTTATTTATTTGAAAGTCAGAATTAGAGAGGAGAAGCAGAGACACAGAGAGAGGTCTTCCATCCGCTGGTTCACTCCCCAGTTGGCCACAACAGCCGGAAATGCACCAAACCAAAGCTAGGAGCCAGGAGCTTCTTCCGGGTCTCCCACTCGGGTGCAGGGGCCCAAGGACTTGGGCCATCTTCTACTGCTTTCCCAGGCTATAGCAGAGAGCTGGATGGAAAGTGGAGCAGCCGGGTCTTGAACGGCACCCATATGGGATGTCGGCGCTTCAGGCCAGGGCATTAACTTGCTGAGCCACAGCACCGGCCCAGGAAGTGATTTTAAATGATGCTTTAAAAAGTCACACCTACAGTGTATCCTGTGTTTTCAGTGTACAGAACGGCAGCCTGGACCTCTCTTCCCGGAGGCTCTCAAATTGTGTTCCCCAGGGCTGTGTCCTTGGCCCTCTCTTGCGCTCATATGTGATTACCCCTAGGCCTTTAGCCGCCACTCCCCTGCACTCGGATAACTTGTGGGTCTCTCCTCTGTCTAACCCTCACCTTTATTTGGCTGCCCCCTAGCACTTCAGTGTGTCTCTACTGGATATAACTGGATTTATGATCTTCCCCCAGAAGCTGTTCCTCGCCCCCTCTTCCCCATCCTTGTGAATGGCAGCACTGTCTACCCAGGGGCCCTGGCCATCATTTCAGTTATTTTTTTCTAAAGATTATCTTAGTTTTAAAAGCAGAGTGACAGAGAGGGAGAGACAGAGAATCTTCCATGTGCTGGTTCACTCCCCAGATGGCCACAATGGCCAGGGCTGGGCCAGGCTGAAGCCAGGAGCCAGGAACTTCATCCAGGTCTCCTGCATGGGTGCAGGGGCCCAAGCACTTGGACCATCTGCTGCTGCTTTTCCCAGGCCATTATCAGGGAGCTGGATAGGAAATAGAGCAGCCGGGCTACGAACTAGTGCCCATGTGTGATGCCGGTATCCGGGAGGTGGCTTTACCCGCCATGCCTGGCCATCATTTCAAACCCTTCTCAGGGTCGCATATCCTCGCACTCAGTCACTGAGTCCTGGAGCGTCTGCCTTCACTCCCTCCCCACTCCCACTTGCTTGTTCCTCCATCCTCTCATGCTTGCATTTCTGGCCACTCGCCCCCGCCCCCCATTTCCTCCATGTCAGTCTCCTTGCTCCATCTCATTAACCCACACTACTGCTGAGATGTCTTCCTGAGAAGCCGTGTTTCTGCCCGCTTCCCATCACTCCCGAGGATGATGTAGCCTGGCATTCAGGGCCTTTTAAAAATCTAACTTGTCAACACAATTATTCTGCACACACACACACCCCGCAGGCACACGGTCCCCCACCCCCATCTCTCCTCCCATGAGGCTGGGGCTTCTGCCCTCACCCTTCTTTCTGACATTTGTCATAGAATCTGTAACACTTTGATCACCCTTAGATGGCGCTTGGGTCTTTTGAGACCAGAAGCCGGGGTAGACCAGATGTACCAGACTGCTATACTTTATTGCAGGTGCCATAGGAGAGAGGGCAAATGGCAGAAAAAGGAGAAGGGACCCAGGCGCCTCGTGATGCCAGAGTCACAGTGACGGGGCTGAGTGCCCTACACCACCCAGACCTGGACAAAGGAGCAGCTCTGGGGAGGAATCCTAGGGCAAGGCTCTTACGCTGGGCCTGCTGGGCCTGCTGGGCCTGCAAAGGCTGGGGAGGGGCTGTTTTCTTTGCTGGGCAAGGGAGGGGCTGTGAGGACTATGGAGAGAGGGGCCGTGGGAGGAGATGGGGCAGTTCTTTGCCCCGTGTCCCTGATGCTACCTCCCAAAGGCACACTCCCCATATTCCCCCCTGCCCTCAAAGGAGAGAGCAGCAGTGGCATCTGGGACAGAGGAGAGAGAATCTGAATGAGATTGGGTGTGGGAGGGGCAGCTGGGTGTCTTCATGGCCGTCCACACCCCTTCCTCCAGCCTCTTCAGTTCCAGATTTTGAGGAAGCTGTCCCAGGAACCAGTGGCCACAGCCATCCCGTCGGCTGTGACCCCCAGGCAGCTGACCCTGTTGTCGTGGCCAGAGAGGATGCCTGAGGAGGAAGAGAGGAGTCAGCCTGTCCCCCGTGCTGACTGGGGAGGTGCTGTGTGTGCGTGCACGCGTGCATGGAATCCTGGGGTGGGTAGGCTGCACTCTAAGCCCCTGGAGGAGTCTGAAAGAAGATTAGCCCTAAGGGAAGGGATTTTTCTTGAGGTTAATTTCTTGTCAAGAACCTGGGTTGCAGGAGGGGCGGGGCACCTTGGCAGGCACTGGAAAGTGGGGAAGGCAATCTTTTCTTCCTTTTGCCCTGTTTCCAGATGCAGGGGTGTGGCCCAGGAGAAGGAGCTTGCTCTAGGGCATCAGGGAGGGAGGGAGTGTCTGGAGCAGGATCTGGGTCCTGACTCTCCAGCCAGTGCTGCTGTCCAGAGAAGAAGCCACACCCTGCTCGGCTTCAGCTGTGGTCCAGGCTGGTGCCAGGTACACCCCTGGGCTGCGGCCAAACCATCAGGTCCCCTGGGTTCTGCTCCCTTTTAGCGTTCCCTGGGGTTGTGCCTCCCTTCAGTGTTTGTCCCTGAAGCCCCAGGAACCCAGAACGTGGATGACCAGCAGAGCGCAGCCATGGCATTGGGGAGTGGAGAAGGGCGACTCAGAGCAACTTGTCTTTGGGGGCAGACAGTTGGGAACCAAGGGTGCTGGGCCCCAGGAGCAGAGTTGTCCAGCAGTTAGAGGGTCCCAAGAAGGGGGAGCTGGTAGGAGGAAGAACCCAGCTGAGGCGGCAGTGCACGGGGCTGGCCCTTACCCACACGCTCACACTTCATGGAGTCCCAGACATTGCAGTTGAAGTCATCGTAACCTGCGAAGAGCAGGCGGCCACTGAGGGAGAAGGCCACGGATGTGATGCCGCAGATGATGCTCTCGTGGGAGTAGGCGGTCAGCTCCTGATCTGCTCGCAGGTCAAACAGGCGGCAGGAGGCGTCATCCGAGCCAGTGCAGATGGCCTCTCCATTGGGGAAGAACTGAGGGTACAGGTGGCCAGGGAGTCAGACCTTGGGCAGCCCGCCGCTTCCACCTCCCCCTGGTTCCCACCGGCTGGCTGCAGGGCAAGCTGCTTCTCTCAGTCTCCCTGCCTGTCCCTGCCTTGGCCTCTGGTGAGAAGCAGCTACAGCATGGTTGCTCACTGCTGACATTTTGTTTAAAAAAATTTTTTTTTAATTTACTTGAAAAACATAGAAATAGAGACAGATCTTCCACCCTCTGGTTCACCACCCTCCCCAAATGCCTATGACTGCTGGGACTGAGCCAAGCCAAACCTAGGAACCTGGAACCCCATGCAAGGTCTTCCACATGGGTGTCAGGGACCCAAGTACTTGAGCCATCACCTACTGTCTCCCAGGGTACTCAATAGCAGGAAGCTGGATCAGGAGCGAAGTACCGTGGACCAGAACCAGAACCAGGTATTCCAATCCTAACCTCTGCACCAAACCCCTGACCCAAGTGCTGCCATTGAGCACACGCCACCTGCGTGCCTCTGGCTTCCCCTCCCCTGTCACGTGCCCCTCACCACAGCACTGCAGGCAGGCATTGTTTCCAGCTTGCAGGCCAGAGCTCCAGGCTGGGTTTGCCCCTGAGGCACATGGCTGGAAGGGCAGAGGTTGATGCAGATGCCACACAAGTGGGTGGGATCTCAGTGCGTTTAACAGGACCAGCCACAGATGCATAACCCAAATCCCATCATGAGGAAGAATTGGATAAACGCAAATGTGGGGAAAGGCATGGAAAACTGGTTTGCAATCTAAAAATGTCAGGCCCAACAGAGGAAGAAAAATGTTCCAGCTTAAAGGAGACTAAGAAGATATGGCAAAGAAATGTGATGCATGTTTCTGGATTGGGTCCTGAACAGGAAAAAATTGTCATTAAGGACATTTGAAAGATAATTGGTGAAATCTGAATATGGCCTGGACCATAGTATTGTGTCAGTGTTGAATTCCCTGATTTTAAGAATCATCCTGTGGCTTCTAGCAGAAGGACCTTGGTTTTTGGTTTGTTTAAAGGATAAAGGGACATGATGGGGGCGGGCATTTGGCACAGTGGTTGAGATGCCACACCCCATCTCAGGGTGCCTGGGTTTGAGTCCTGGCTCCTCGTCTCATCGCTGCTTCCTGCTGATGTGCACACTCAGGGACAGCAGGTGACGGCTCACATCACCGGGTCCCTGTCACCAATACAGGAGGCCGAGACAGAGTTCCTGGCTTCTGGCTTCCGCGTGGCCCTGCCCCAGCTGTTGAGGGATTTGGAGAGTAAACCAGAGGATGGAAAAGCTCTGTCTCTGCCTCTGCCTTTCAAATAAATAAATAAAATTGTTTATAAAGAAGCATGGTGTCTGCACCTACTCTCAAAACATATCTAAATCTACATCCTGGTGTGTGTGTCTATCTAAACTGTATTTCTCTGCAGAGAGAGGATGATAAAGCGAAGATGCCCACATATTCGCCATGAATCTGGGTGCAGGGTACATGAGAATTGTTGGTCTTGATGTAAGGTGCAGTTCTTTCCAAGTGAAAAGGGACCTTGTGTGTGTGTCTGTCTGTCTTGGTGGCTGCCGGGCTGGAGCAGGGTGGGGTGCTCACACAGATGGCGTTGATGTCCGACTCGTGGCCAGTGAAAGTCTGACGGCAGGTCCCCTCCCGCACGTCCCAGAGCTTGGCGCTGGCGTCACAGGCCCCCGAAATGAAGAGTTTGAAGTCGGGAGACACAGCCAGGCTCATGCAGTCACCCGTGTGCCCCACAAACACAGTCTTCTGCTGCCCCGTCTCAATATCCCACAAGGCACTGCGAGAGGGAGGACGTGTCACAGATAGAAGCCGAGGGCCTCCTCCCAAGCCCAGCCCCCACAGCATTCAGGCCTCACCACGTGGTGTCCCCAGAGCTAGTCACAATGTTGTTGTCGTCCAGGAAGCGGCAGCAGGAGAGATAACCTAGGGGTGGTCAGAAGGACAGTGCCCCGGCTGCAAAGCCGCAATCTGTTGGGGCGCTTTAGCCCCCAGCCGGGCAGAGTGGGCCTCTCACTCACCTGTGTGAGCAGAGAGCTCGCGGCTGACCTTAACGTTTCCCTCACGAGATTTGAGGCTGTAGATGGAACACATGTTGTCCAGCCCCCCGCACGCCACAAAGTTCCCTGACGGGGCGTAGGCACAGGTCATGACCCAGGAGGAGCGCAGTGGGATGGCGTGCACCTGCGGGACAGCGGGGTTTGGGTGGAGGCAGAACCCCCGGGGCAGAGGGCGCTGGGCACTGCGGGCTGGAAGGAGGGAGAGTGGCAGAGGCCGGGCTGGTACCTTGTTGGTGGTGTAGGTGTCCCACACGATGAGCTTCCCGTCCTGGGAGGCACTTACCAGCAGCCTGTGGAGAGGGCACTCGGGTCATCCAAGCCCCTCCTGCCGGCCCCCCTCCCCTCTGGGCCCTCCTCAAGCCTCACTTGGAATCAGTGGCCCAGTGCATGGCATAGATCTTGGCCAGATGTCCCCTTAGTGTCCGCCGGGTCCGCATCTGGACTCGTCCTACCACCTCCAGGCCAGACACCAGCTGCAGAGAAAGGGGCATTAGGTATGGGGTGTCTGTCCTAGCCACTGGTCTGTGCAAGTTTCTGCTCCAGTATTTAGGGGCAGACCCCCAGTCCCGGGAAAATAAGTCCCTGCCCTGGTGTGGCTCAGACGGATATGTGCGTGACCACACACACAGATGTGTGTCACTAAGTGTTCAACACCAGCTTCTCCACGGGGAGTGAGGGAGGGCAACTTCCACTATGCAAACACTGTCATCTTGATCAGTTTCAAGCCGCCAGGGTGAAGCCACTGAACCCCACCCTGGGGAAGAGAGGCACAAACTCCCAATGGCACAGCCACCACCCAGGTCAGCACCTTTGTGGGGCACCCTGCAACTACGCCTCCCGAGATTCTTAGTCAGTGCCCCTTGTACTCCAACCAGCTGCAAGGGCCCCAGACTTAGGAGCTTTGACTTGCTGTTACTTGCTCTGTTATCTTGGGTAAGCTGCTTAACCTCTCTGAGCCTAAGATGTAAAAGGAGGCCATCACAACACCTACCTGACAGCTGTGGTGAAAATTAAATGAAATTATGTATTTAAAGAACTTAGCCCAGCGTGTTTACTCTTGTAGTTAACATAGTCAACCCAATCTAAAGTGTCATCAACTCTAGAAAACTCCATCATATTGTGTATTACCAAGAAAAAACCATGCTGCCAGTAGAAATGGAAAGCAGCCATTGCAAATGGGAAGCAAGGCGCATGCTGGAGTTGAGGGAACACAGTATTAGATGCCCAGCTACCAGTTTCTAAGGGCTTCGTGAATTACAAAGTAAATCTTCACACTCACAGCCCTTCAGGGGTGTGGAATCACTCTTGTTTCACGGTGGACAAAAGGAATAGGGTGCATTTAGCATCTAACACAGTGCCTGGGCCGCAGCAGGTCTCACTCAGAGTTTGTGGAATGAATTAATTAATGCCGGCCCTGGCTCCCCGGACGCACTGTACCGAAGCTCGGGCACCAGGTGTGGCTGTTCAGGGAGCACAGCTCCCCGCCCCTCCCCTCATGTTCTGGCCTCAGGGGGACGGGGTGGGGGTGGGGTCTCACCTCTGCCAAGGTAATATCAGCACAGGCTTTCCTGGCGTCCTGTGGGGAAAGCAGACATCAGGGGAGGGGACTGGCAGGGTGCGGGTAGAGGGCGCCCAGGTCTCTGGGGTTTTGGGGGGTGGGTCTCAGATATGAGATTCACACTCAGTCTCTGATCACTTCTAGGCCAGAGGCCCCTAAGGTGTCAGTCAAGAGCAAAGCCAGCCCCTCCGCCCCCAGGCCCCACTCCCTCGGCTGCTGTGTGGTCTCTGGGCCCCAGGTGGGAGGGCTCTGGGTTACTGCGATCTGCTTCTTGAGCTGCTCTGCTTCCTGTCTCAGCTGCTCCATCTCCCCCATGGCTGACCGGTCAAGGGGTAGCTCCGGCTCCTGCCAGGGACACAGGATAGGTGCTGGGGAGTCCCCACCAGGCCATGCTCTGTGCTTCACACCCCACGCGAGACTCCTAAGGACTGGATCTCCCTCTAACGAATGAGGGAATGTTGGGGTGCCTGCATCGCGTCCCCAGCCAGGCCTTCCACGTCGGAGACCAGTGCATCCAGCCCCAGCCCTCCCTGAGCTCCCCCCGCAGCCCCCAGCCCCAGAGAGTAGAGCCCGGCCAGTTCCCTCTTACTTGGGCTCTGGCTGGACGGCTCCCAGTTTTCCAGCTCCGTTCCCAGGCGCCTCCTCACTCCCTCGGCTGCGACACCCGCTGCCTGTCACCTGCCCCAGCTCTGCTGCCAGAGGAGCTGGCCTGGCCTGGCCCCGGCTGGGGGGGTCGGGGGGGTACTGACAGGGGAAGGGTAGGGCCAACGAGGACGAGGACGTCAGGCAAATGAGATCAGCTGCCCAGGGTGGGGACCAGGACTGGGAGGGAGGGAGGGAGGGAGGGACATGTGTGCTGCCAGACTGGGGCCCAGCCCGGAGCAGGGGTGGAGCAGGAGTAGGGGGCTGGAGCGGGGAGCAGCCCCAGAGGGAGGGGCCGAAGGGGGTGCTCCCCTGGTCCGTCTCTGCAGGCAGACATAAGAGCATCAGGCCCCATGGGCTTAGAGCAAAGCTGTGAGGATTAAGGGCTGGGGCTCGGGAGGGGCGCAAAGGAGCAGGAGCGACCGCAGCTCCAGTGGCCCTGAGGCCCTGGCCCCCACCAGTGGTGCTGATCTTGGCAGCCAGGAGCCACTTAGCAACCAGGAGCCAGGATTCGAGGGTGCTGGGTGGCCCCATTGTCATTTACCCTCAATTGTGTGCCTTAGCTCAGGTGGAGGGGGAGAAGGCTAGGAACATGGGAGGGTTCGGGCAGGAGCTGAGATTAGAGGGGACTGAGCTGGATAATCCTTCTTCCCGACAAACCCCAACCAGCTGCCCCTGGGTCTGATCCTGGTCAGCAGTGGTGGTGGTGGAGGGGGGACAGGGACAGGGACAGGGAACCCACGGGAAGGCTGGCAGAGCCTGCCCCTTCTGTGGGCAGAGGATGGATTATCCATGGAAGGGAGCCCCCAGCCCCCACTCCCGGCCTGGGGTCGGGCCCCTTCTTGCTCCCATGACACACGGTGTCCTGGTGGAGCTGTGAGAGCAGGAGTCAGGGGGTCAGGCCGCCCAAGGCCCAGGCGAGCTCAGAGACGGAAGACAAGGTTTAGGGTTGGAGGCCTGAGGAGCAGCTGTCAGGGGCTTGGGCCTATTTGCATGAGGGAAGCAGGTGCTGAGATTTCCCTGACAAATCACAGGCTCCAGTGGCCCCGCCCCTGGGAGGCCCAGAGACACCTGTCTCCTCCCAGGCCCGCCTCAGCCACCCCCACTGCAGCCAGCAGACACGGACACACCGGACCCACCTTGGCTGATGGAGCCTCATGTTCTTTATTGCTCGGGCTGGGAGAGGAGAGCCCGGTGTCCTCGCCCTCATCCTCCTGGATGAAGGCAGGCAGTTCCTACCCCTGCCCCTGCCCCTGCCCCTCAGGGAGGCACTGCATCCCCCGTCCATCCACCTGTGGGGCCAGGCCCGGCGAGTCTAGGCTGGTCTGTGCAGGGTCCTCTGAGTCCAGAGCCGGACGGCCCTTCTGGGTCCCCAAGACGGTGGGGTGTGGGGACAGAGAACTTGCTCTTCTGCTCCTGATATTGCATGGGGGCTGACCCTGAGCTGACCTTCCACGTGTCAGTGGCCATGTACGTCCCCAAGGAGCTGGGCAGCTGCTCATAGCTCCTCCCGGACCCGAGGTGGCTTCCCAGTCTTGTCTTGGACCCGCTGAAGCCTGCGGCTTGGGGGCTCTGGGGAAGAGTCTCTGCTGGGCATTTCTTCCTCCTCCTCTTCTTCCTCTTCCTCTTCTTCCTCTGGCTCCTGCAGTAGCTCTTTGGCTTCTGTCCACTCCTGGGGGTGGGGTGGGGAGGAGAGTCTGGGCCAACCGCCCCCATGCTGCTCTCCTGCGCCATCTTGGCCCCAGCCCCTTGCCACCCCCCAGCCTCCCTCCCTCACAGCCGTCCCGTGCTCCGTACCTGCTCCTTGTGCTCAGGAGCCCACGTGTGCCACAGCGCCAGGGCGCAGCGCCGTCCCCGAGTCACGGCCCACACGCCATGGGGATTCTCAACACCAGAGCTGAAGGCCACGAGGCGTCCGCAGCGAGGCCGCACCCGAGCCTGGAGGGAAAGGCAGGCTTGGCTCCCTGCAGCAGGGTGGGCCTGCTCTCCCGCCCATCACTTCCCACTCCTTAATTTCCGGGGACTGGTTCTGGCAAGGAGTGAAAATGCCAGGCAGAGGCTAATGGAGCTGGAAGCCAAAGAGAGTGGGGCCTCCATTGGGGGTCTCCTGCTGGCGCCTTCCCACTGTGCCCTGCTTTTTCGAGTCCAGGGTAAGGGCAGGAACACAGGGGCCAGGTTCTGGGTCAAAGAGAGTGAGTACCTTGGAGGCATCTCTCCACCAAGGAAGCCTGGACTACAGGTGGGTAGGCGGCTGGGTAAGAATTAGCAGTCACTGCCTAGCACCTCACATCGCAGCGCCTGGGTTTGCTTCCAGCTCTGGTTCCTGATTGCATCTCGCTGCTAAAGCAGCCTCTGGGAGGCAGCGGTGACGGTTCAAGGAGCTGCCTCCTGCCACCCATGTGGGAGACCTGAATTCAGTTTCTGGCTTCTGGCTTTGGCCCAGACTGGACCATTGCAGACATCTGGGGAATGAACCAGCAAATGGGAGTTCTCTCTCTCTCTCTTCTCCCTATCTCTCTTTTTCTGCTTCTTGGAAAAAAAAAAAAAAAAGGAAAAAGTAGATGAATATAATTTTTTAAAAATCACTGCTCATTTCTCCTACTCAATTTTTTTAAAAAACATTTATTTATTTATATTTATTTGAAAGAGAAAATGATATCTATCATTTCCTGGTTAACCCCCCAAATGCCAACAACATCCAGGACCAAGCCAGGCCAAAGACAGCAGTTAGGAAATCAGTCCGGGTCCCCCATGTGGGTGGCAGGAACCCAGCTGGCTGAGCCGTCACCTGCTGGCTCCCAGGGTGCACATTTGCAGGAAGCTGGAATCAGAAGCGGGGAGGGGACTTGAACCCCCGTTCTCCAGTATGGGATGTGGGCATCCCCAGCAGCCTCTTCGCTGCTACACCAAACACCTACACCTTCTGAGTTGCTGGTGTCTATGCAGAAATTGATCCAGGAAGGAGGGGATCATACCACCCAACATGCATTCATGACTTATTCTCACCAGGCACCGGCCCGTTTTCTCCAGTGATAAATCTAAACTACTGCCACCGCACCCGACTTGGGAACCAGGACCTCAGCAGGTGAAGAACCAGAATCTGAGCTTCAGCCTAGGTGGCCCTGCTGTGGCGAGCGAGGACCAGAAAGGCTGTGCGCCATGCATCCTCCTTTAAGAGGTGAGGCAGACGCTGCAGGCAGGGTCTGGAGACCTGCTCTGGCCCAGCCCCCGAACACAGCGGTCTGGGACAGCAGGGGAAGGAGGGGGCACAGGTGGCCCCCACCATTCCCTGCATTTGCCTCTGGGAACATTCTGTTCTAAATCCTGACTCCGCAGCTGGGCCCTGGCACCCTGCCACCCCCACCCACATACCGTGACAGTGAGGGCGTTGGGCTCAGTGAAGAACAGGTCACCCCCCTGGAAGTCATCGTTGAGGTAGAGCACTCCACTGGGGAGGAAGAGGGCGGAAGGTGGTGAGACCCCTGCCCGCAGCGGAATGACCTCTGTGTGCCCACCTGCCTGTGCACCCCCACCCCGGCAAGGCCACCCACCTGTAGTCTCGGTAGGTGTAGGCAGGGGGCTCCCGCCAGCACTCCCCGGTGTCGGGGTCCAGGACGCAGTTGTCGGCGTGCACGGGGTGACTCAGGTCCATGCGCTGCTCTTGCTCACCTGGGACACAAACGGGGCTGCTAAATGCCCTCTGCCCCCGGGGCTCACAGCCGGACAGAGAAGCCAGGCACCCACCTGGGCAGGGCAGTTGGGGTGAAGGCTCAAAGTCACAGAGGCAGTGGTGCCGAGGTGCCATGAGCAACAGGCACCTGAGGCTGGGGAGGCCCACCGCCCCCCCCTCCGGCTTACCTTCTATGGCGCTGCGGCACACCAGGTGGGTGAAGGAGAGGTGCAGGGGCCGCTCCGGGGAGAAGTAGGCCTGCGTCAAGGTGCGCACGCGCTCGCTCACCTCCAGAAGCAGCTTGGCACCCTGGCTGCCCACAGCCCCGGCCCGCGCCAGCTGCAGGAGGCAAGAGGAGGGGCAGGAATGGAGGGAGGCAGTGGACGGGTGGTCCCAGCCCCAGCCCCAGCCCCTGCCCCTCTGCAGTCCCAGCAACCAAATGAAACTGCTCCTTCCATCAGCTCCATGGCAGCGGAAGTCCCCGCTTTCTCAGCCCTGGGCCTAGGGACCAGGGATTTTTTGGTCCATCCCAGGAGCTAAGCCCTGGTGCCCAGGCTCCCCATACCTGCGGCTCTAGTCCTGGGCATCAGGCCAGGCCAGGGCCGCCTCCTCTCACCTGCGCTGCCTTCAGCACTGTGAGCCCCTCGAAGCGTTCGTGGGGGGTGTGGGGTGAGCGGCGACCACGATAGCCAGACCTGGCTCCAGCCCCAGCTGCATCCTAAACAGGGAGGTGCTTTGCTGTGGGCCGCAAGACCTGGCCTCCCGCCCTCCCACTCCTGGGAAGAGGCCAGAGGCTCCCGCAGTTTCCTGTGGCTCCTTCTCCTGAGCTGCAGCCCCCTTCTCAGGGAACGACCCTCTGTGGGTGCGTGGACCATGACTCTCCGGGGTCTGACGGGGGAAGGACAGCTGAGGGAGCCATGGTCGGGGCAGGAGGGGCTGGATCACTCCTCCCCCATGGGCCGAGAACACAAGAGTCTTTTTGGAGACAGGAAGTTGCACAGGCCAGAAGCTGGTGATAGCACCTGCTGGGGTGTTATCCTCTGACCTCCACTGCCTCAGAGAAACTACGGATGCCACGGCTCTACCACCCCTCGATGCTGGTCCCGGGTGCCCAAACACCAACACACCCACCCTCAGCACCAGGGGCTCCGTGCTGGGGTGTCTACACCCGGGATCCTTCTCTTTTCGGACATTCACTTTGCTGTCCGCTTTTGGAAGCTTAGTTTAAGTGCCACGGCGGAGTTCTGCCAGCACGTGAGCCTCCGCTTTGGGAGATGGCCTGGTCCCAAGTCAACCTGTTCTTACAGTCATTCCTTCAACGCATTTGTACTGCGCATCTACTACGTGCTGCTCTTCAAGGGTCTGGGAACACGGTAAGCAAAGACAGTCCCTTCCCTCGCGAGAGCTTTAAACTCTAATTCATTTTATTTATTTGAAAGGCAGAGAGAGAGAGAGAGAGCTCCCACCCATAAGTTCACTCCCTAAATGCCCGCAACAGCTGGGGATGGGCCAGGATGAAATCAGGAGGCAGCAACCCAACCTGAGTCTCCCACATGGGTGGCAGGGGCTCAGTTACTTGAGCCATGACTGCTGCCTTGTAGGGTGCACACTATCAGGAAGCTGGAGTCAGGGGAGAGCTGGGCTCAGGCACTTCAATATGGAATGCGGGGGTCCTGGGTAGCATTTTTTTTTTTTTTTTTGGACAGGCAGAGTGGACAGAGAGAGAGACAGAGAGAAAGGTCTTCCTTTGCCGTTGGTTCACCCTCCAATGGCCGCCGTGGCCGGTGCACTGCGGCCGGCACACCGCGCTGATCCGAAGCCAGGAGCCAGGTGCTTCTCCTGGTCTCCCATGGGGTGCAGGGCCCAAGCAGAGAGCTGGCCTGGAAGAGGGACAACCGGGACAGAATCCAGCGCCCCGACCGGGACTAGAACCCGTTGTGCCAGCGCCGCAGGCAAAGGATTAGCCTACTGAGCCGCGGCGCCGGCCCGGGTAGCATCTTAATATCTGCGCCAAACACCCACCCCAGGGTTTATATTTTGAGATAATAAATAAATAAACCAGATCAACTCAGATGGTGGTAACAGCATGAAGAAAATACAATCTTAACAGTGCCTGGGCATGGGAGAGAGATGCTAATTGAAGAGGTGACATCTACATTGATGCCAATAATGCAAAGGAGCCACTTGAATATCTGAGAGGAAATGCTCCAGGCAGCAGGAACAGCAAGTGCAAATGACCTGTGGCCACAATACGTGTGATCAAGGGAGAGAAGCCTGTGACTGGGGAGTTACCTGACTCCATCCTCTCATCACCTGCCACAGGGATT